CTTGAAATATTCAAGTACTTCCTATCACAAATCACATGAAATTAAGCCTAAACTAAAGTGTAACGGACCAAACTTAATTCGAATAACAAAGCACCTGCAAATGTACAACAGTGGACTTGACATTGAATATTCAAACTCAAAAGAACGAACAACAGGGACTTGCAAACTCGAACTTGAATGAACTACAATGAACTTAACTTGAACTTGAACAAAATGCAAGCAAATTTAAATGATTAAACTTGAATACGAAGGGTTCAAACCAAATGTGACCCGAAACATTTAAACAAGCAAATAAACTTGTACTATTTGGAATTGAATTCCTAATGACAAAGAACTAAACGTTAATTTGACCAGTGCTAGATCAAAGTGAAGATGCCAAAAAATCATGATCATCCAAATACATTTAGAAGAATGTCATATAAATCATATAAAGATGATGATGATCGGTACATATATCAGTCACATGAACAAATATGATTTATCTCTTGCAAATAAAAGAAGTTGATACACATAATGGTGGATTTGTGAACAAGTATCAACATGAATATTCCCAAGTCCAATATACATGCTACAGAGCGTTCTCAAAGGCAACAAAGAACTTGTCTTCAAGAATGGATTTGCAAGATAATGTATCAAACTCCTGCAAGAAGTGGTAGATGCTAATGAACAGTAAATAATCTGTGAGTTTATGAATGATAGATGTTATGCCCATATTATAGTAATGATATTGGGGAAGCCACAATTCACAAACAAATAATGCTATTACCTATATAGACAACATAACAACGCTCATGAATGATTATAAACAACAATAAAGAGTAATTAGCTTGCAGCATTCGAACAAAGTGCAAGCAGAAGGATGAACAGAGATTGCAAATCTCACAAGAACGATGACAATAGAGTGTGACATTTGCACCAATCATATGGAGAAGATAGTAGTCAATTAACAAAGTATACTGGAGGACATTATACGGAATATGTCTAAGGCCAATTAGCTCATGGTTAATGTTAATTAGTTTGCAACTAATTAGTTTGCAGACGAGTTCATTAACTTGCTACTGATTAGTGACTATCGACATGCAATAAATGTGACAATCCCTTAATATGGACATAACAATCTATCCACAAGCTGAAGCAGACGAGGCATAATAAATACAAATGATTATGAGCCATCACAAGAGATCTATCATGTATACAACATAATGTCTACATTCAAATACAAGAAGGAATGTAGTAGCCACAAACACCTGTTGGCAATAAGGAAAACTTTGCCATATGTATAGTGATATATATATATGGGTGGTGATCAATAATTGTGGATGTTACAATACCACCATAATCAACTACCATGCAAATGATCAGCAAAGATGTTGATTCATCACAAACAAGAAGGGTGATATGCCACAAATGTAAATGCCTACAAACTGTCGTAGGAGACTTATCACATACACAAATTGCCATCCAGGAGCGGGCACACCAAATTTCTATCAGCCATGACAAGTAACACAGTGATTACAAAGACGCCTTCACGGTCAATTTGTGAATGTGGACAAATAATATTCATATCAGTCATGTATTTAATGTTACCAGGGAGATTTGACATGTAGTGGAAGCAATAATGTGATACATCTAGATGTGTTCAAGTGAAAGTCAACATACAACACAATGGGCCCACTAGAATTAATGATCAATATTTGACAAATGTGCTGTTAAGGATTAACACAAAACTTGGTGGCCTAAACTCATAATTATAAATATAAATTACACATACTATTCCAATCACCTGAAAGACTACAAACTATTTTGGGAATGAATATCTCACAGACTCACATTTTTCTCCGGGATGATCTGATGCGCCATCAATTGCTACAGTTGTTAGTTCAAGGTAGTGACCGTTGATTTCAAAATATAGAACATCAGTAAGGACGTAATCATCCAAGGTTATGATTGATTTTTTATTTAAGCCAACTCCAGAAAATGATGATGATGATATAATTAAGGAATTACCCATTGACTTCTATATGAGCTCCGGAAAGAGAAAGCTAGGTTAAATTATAAGTAAGTGAATCTCAGTTCAACCAACTCCTCAACATTGAGTTGGATAAGATTATTAACAGTGATCGTGCATCACACCACCCACAGGAAAATGCTGACAGAACTATGACAAAGATGAACTTCTATGAGCCGCCATAGAAGACCTGTCGTATGTCAAAAAATGTCTCCTGCACATGCACTGTAATATGTAGCACATAGGTACACAAAAGAGGCAAGTGCAATCACAAAACCCGCATGGGTCCGACGAGCATGTTATGGGTACATACATGACGTATAGGAATGCTGCACAGGTCAACAAGTAAACCCAAGTTCGAGCCTAGTCATTCTATGCAAGTAGATAGGAGTCGGCATGGCTCGAACCATTAAATAAACATGCGATCGCGAGGTTTACCGGGATATTTATTTTATACATTCATAGTAAGCATTCAAAAAAAAAAAAAAACTCACCAACAAAAGCATAAAGCCTATGAAACCCGATTCTCTGTCGAGAGCTAGACAGAGTCGACAAGGTTCAATCAATAAAATATAAATGCCCATAAATACCTCGATGATGACCATGTTGAACGTTTATCTAGATCGGAGGGGATCCTACCTTTTCAAATGCTCTCAATTTTCCATAAAATACGAAATATTAATGACCCCAATCACCCTAATGGTGGTCGTGTTGAATGCAGATCTCAACTGGAGGTTTAATTTCAAATATTTCAAAATATCCTTAAATTTTTACTAAAGTCAAATATTTTCAAGTGACCTTAAAGTCACCCCGATGATGGCCGTGTTGACAGAAAATCTCAATCGGATGTGTCAATTTTAAATATCCAAAATTCTACCAAAATATCCATCAAACATTCGAAATTCCAAAGATTACAACACTCCAAATATTTAAAACTGAAATTAACCATAAAAATGTTTAAAGCAAAATCCATCCACCACCCTCTGCAATAGTTTGTCGGGGCGGATAAATTGAAAATAACTTCAGCTCACAAAGAGCTAATGTCTGGTCGAAAATATCATTAGGATTCATTCTCAAACAATTTCCTGTCAGTGGGGATGTGACACGTATCCTATAATCAACAATTTTGTTGCCAAATGGCACCATAGGTAAACCGGGGCCCTCTGAACTGAGTGGTTTGCCGCCAAATGGAACCATTAAATTACGGTTATGGCCAGAGACCGTATGCTACCCAATGACATCAAATCCTTGAGCTGTGAATCAATAGGAAATAATAAGGCACAAAGCCCTCTGTTAGCTAAGGTGTATTCAAATTTGTCTCTTTAGACAAACATCCAACCCAGTTTTATAAAGTACCCTTGGACGAAGCAACCCATGCCTGCTGACAAGGATCCTTCTGTCATGTTGGGTCGAATGCCTCCTCTGACTAAGTAGACCAGGGACCACGATGGCTCGGGACGACGGAACTATGAGATCTTGATTGGGTCCATTATTCATTCCCCCACCATCCGCTCTAAGTGCAAGATGGTGCAATTTCAAATTTTAAATATCTAACTCTTCAAATTCCAAATGCCCGTTGCTGCTACTATATGCTAGATAGCTCATATCTCTTTAATCTGATTGATGACTAGCCTTAATCGAAAGTTCTCTCTCATTACCGGGAGGAGTAATTAACTATTGGAGCTTGCGCCTATAGGTAACCAGAACTCAGATCATAAAGTCCTCTCAAAATGAGGGCTAAATCTCTGGGTAGTGTCTTATCTACAAACCCATCTTCATTCCCAAAATTTACCCGGAATTTATTCCGTTAAAACTCCTCGAAAAGCAACGGGGAGGTCGGGGCCGAATTTTCGGAGCCCACAATTTCTCACTTATGTTAGACATTTACTATTACCGGCTTCATTATTTACATAAAGCTGCTTGATTGATTGGGGAAATTGGCTGATGGTTCTTATTCAAATTAGGGGGTGCAGTTGGCTGAGAAATAGTGGAGTGGATAGGGCAAAATTCACCTTCCTGCTGATTCTCAACTCTTTAGTGATTCTATTCTCATTTTCTTAGGGGGAGCTTAATTCAACAACAATGTTTTGGTCTATTGGATTTAGCATTTGGTTATTGTTCTTAAGAGATAAAGGCCTATCGTAGATAGAAGCTAGAGGATTTAGGGTACTATGATTCATGGAGTGAGCTCTCATGTGGGGAGAAGGAAATCCATGCGGGAACTATGGCTGACTCTTGACCAACATAAAATACGGAGACCACTTGAGCAAATCTCAGACGAAGTCTTGATATAGTATGCTATTCAGAAAAAAAATCTGGATAGTTGCCTTTTTGAGGCAGCCTAATTAGTAAGCATAATGTCCAATGTTTTGTATTTGCTAAAATATATATTAATGATTACATATGTTAATTAAAATAATATATGTTAATGAATACATTTGGCTGCTCATTAATAGTCGCTTGATGGCTCGTTCCAAGTGACATCTGCTCAGGCGAGAAAATGCGGATGGACACAAGCGGGAAAATGCGATACTGAATCGGTCGACTCGCGAGCCGGCTTGAACTCGATTTTAATGGGATGAGTTTAAGTTTGAGCTCCCCTTTTGAGATCGACTTGAGCTTGAGCTTGAGCTCGCTGTCCGACTAACGAGCTGAGCTCGGTAGTGCTAAAACTCGACTCGTTTACACCCCTAACTCCTATCAACTGATGAATATGCAGGCTCTTTCTGACATGTTCGTTTCAATCTATGGCATCATGTTCATCTGAGCATATTTAAGACAAATTTTCATTACATTGATGCTATTTGGACTTTATTAAACTATTCCTAAGCACTAATATTCGTGAATTTGATTATGCCAATCTATCTTTATGCTATTTTGTATCAAACTTTTTTTTTTTTAAATTTAAATATGAGCTTTAATTCCATTCGGAATTGCATCAAAAATTACCCTTCCAAATTGTAAGTTCCTGACCATCCAGCCATTTCTGTAGATCGCACCAGACTGGAGGCAGGCCCTTACTCTGAAGAAGGTAGTGGAAGATCGAGTCACCAAAGGTAAGGGATGAGTTTACTTTGCTGCTTTCATTGGTTTGTTCCCAACTCGAAGCATTTCTTAGTTCTTTCTTTGCAACTGGAACAGATGGAGTAATTGGTATCGGAATCGCAGCAACTGCTGTGGGACTTGTGGTCGGTGGAATTGCTGCTGCTGTAGCTCGGAAGAAATGAATCCCTTTATATAAGTTGGTTGTGGCTGTTTGGAGCGGCTGCATTGTCCTGACTTGCAACTTCTGTTATTATTCTCCCAATTGTGTTTTTCTTTTCACTGGTATGAACTGTGCTAATTGGTTTTCTTTTAGAAGCTCATATAATCCGTATAGAAAGAGACGAGGCTTGTAAATTTATCTTATTGCAACTGTTATGCTATCAATCTTTTATGTGGTTGATTATTTTTAAAAAAGTATACCACTTTGAAGTATATGTGCCCTTGCCAACTTACCCCTTCTTCAGCTGAAAAATTATTCTGTGCGGATGCTGAATGTTGCCTGGAGATCAACCAGAATGTGTCACGTAAGCCCTCGCTCGGTACCTCGGCCGCGACACCCCTTGGTACCACTGACGTTATGCATTCTGATTGGTATCCGGATGGTGTTCTGCATCAATCCTTTGTGCGGCTACTATGAGCGGGGCGCGGGTGCTTATAGTATATGCACGAAGGACAAATATGTAGAATGCCGTTCGGATATTAATTAGAATGCATTACGTCAGTGGTACCAAGGGGTATTTGGACGGCAGCTACTTTGATTTAATATGCAATGATTTTAATTTATACAATATACAATTTAGCTCATAATTACATAGATAATAATATCTTTAAAGCAATTTTATCTATTAAAAATATTCTAAATAATTCATCAATCTAAATTTACAAAATAATACAATCATTTAGAAAATTTTATACTTATTATTTTTCTTATTATTTAAATAGCCTATTTTCTTATTTAATTAAAGTTAGTAGTGATAAGTAGTTTGGATGATAGGGGTGTCAATTTCGGTCACGGGTCGGGTTCGGGTCGAATTTGGAACAGACTCGGGTTCAAACAGGTCGATCCTAACTCAATCCATGGCCATGTAGATAAACGGGTCAGAAATTTGAACGCGGACCTGACTCTGCGGGTTGCCCGGTTGACCCGACTTGACACGGGAAAGTGGGCTACCTGGCGCGTGGGGACGGATTAGCAGGACGGGGTTGAGCGGGTTACCTGGAGCGAACTCGAGCAGCAGGCGCGGCCGCGCGGGGCAGGTGCGCGGGCAGGGGTTGCGGGGCGGAATTATTCGCACATTCGAATGTTCTTTATCTTCTGTTTTTCTTTTTTTTTTCTTTTTTTTTTTCATCGTTTTGAAGATTATTATTATTTATTAAAATAGAATTGCAATTATTCTTCTTTATTTTTTATTCATCTCGTTATAATTGTGACTTCTATATCAAAATAAATTATATTTAGATATTATAATTAAAATTTTATCTTCATAATTTAAAAATTTTTAGTATTTTTTTTAAAGTTTAATGCATGCAATATAAGTTAAAAAATATGTTATTCTATGACTATTATAAAAAAAACTCGGCTACGAAATAGAATTATAGATTATTTGATGAATGATATTTTAATTATTTATGTTGAGAAAAAATATTTGATTGTATTAATAATAATCTAATAACTCAACTCTTTTAGAATATGCATTATAGATTGTAAATTTTTATATTTTATCTTTTAAAAATGAATAATTTTAATAATTTTTTTTTCAAGCTGTCAATATCAATCTCAAGCATGAATGAAAAAAATTTAAGAAAATATTTAAAAATTTAATTTATGCCCAATAGAAAAACAGTTTCATATATACAAACATGCATGCAAATATATAGAAAAAGACACAGAAATTTAAAAAATTAACGCCCCTTATTTTATTACCACATCAGAATTCAAAGCAGTTTAATACTAAACTGTAGGAGACCAAAGCTCATAACCAAATCACATTCTAAGAACCCTGACATCCATGTTCACTTCCCCTCCACAAAATTACAAAAAAAAAATAAAAAAAAGAGGCTAATTATTATAAGTTTTTACAAACAGCTAAAGTTATGGACACTTTACAATTTTGGTTAAAATCATGTCAATAGAACACATCTCTAATGACTAAATAATGATCTCCCCCTCTTCTATTTCATCATTTTTTAGGACTGAAATCTGAGAAGTTTTGTGATCATCAAAGTCATCATCTTTGAGGAATAATCCCAATTGTCTCAGAAAATAAAAAGAGACGTTTGGACAACCGAGCCCCTTCAATTCTTTCATTACCCGGCTATAGTCGTCATTCATTTCAACTGTTGCTTCCATATGCAAAACATAGAATTGATTACATGGAATGGACATCACAAGCTCACTCCCTTGACATGAGGCAGTTTGGGAAAGAAAAAGCTCACCTTTTCTAAGGCAAGACGAGATGATTCTCTTTCCTTCTTAATCTTCATTCTAAGCTCAGATTTATCCTTTTGAGCAGCAACAGCTTTGACTTATGCTTCAATCCTCATTTGTTCTGTTCAATAAGAATAGTTAAATTATAAATTAAAATAACAAAAATGTTGAACAGTAAAGAAACCTTCATATTATTAAATTTTTTATTTGCTGTAAATTTTTTTGCTTACCTTCTCTGTATGCTTTTGTCAATTTATCATTTTCTCGTTGCATTCTAAATGCACGTTCTTTTAACCCCTAAGCAACAAATTAAGAAGCTTTGGTAAGTCCATAGCTAATTAAACATTTACTCAAGCATATTTTGTTATTCATATTGAGCATGCAGACTTAGTATTATCAACGAATACATGACAATATCTGAGAGA